TAGTCAACTACTTAATGTTGATAAACACCAAGCTAAGAAATCTACACAAGACAGAAAAGTTCTAAAAGGACTACTACATCAGAACTTTGGCTCTGTGTAGACTATATAGTCCCTGCTGATCAACTTATAGTTGGAAATAGCGGAATGACACTGATACTGATATAATAAAGAACAAGATAACAGAACTAATCATTTTCAGCTGATTTTTGCATAATTAGGAAGACCTTAGTAGGTCTTATTGTTTATCGTTTATGAGTCATTAAGTGCATTGTGTTGGATACAAAAGTCAGCAAATACTCGAAGTATTTCTTGAGTTTGATGAGTTTGGAAGATTTACGCTTGGTTGATTGCTGAACTTTGGTGTTTGCTTTTAAAAGAATTATGGAAGRGTGATATCATGAATTTTCTCAACACATAATATTGTTTCAAAAAAACATGTATTTTCATTAGTCTTTTGAATTCATTGACGGTAGCGTGATATTCTCGATAGCCTAACTGGAAAACGTAGCTATTGCGTTTCTCAAAAAGTCAAAATTTTTAGGTCTTGCTTGCTTGCTTGCTTGGTTGAGCTTTTGAGTTAAAAATTCAAAATCCCCGCGCTCTATAAATTGGATTGGTAAACAAAAGACTTCCCCAAACTTGCCTAGCAATACTCTCCCCGTCATTTTATGGTAACGATTTAATAAACAATAGTCTGCTCGTCATTTTATGGTAACGATTTAATAAACAATAGTCTGCTCGTCATTTTATGGTAACGATTTAATAAACAATAGTCTATCGTCATTTTAATGACGAATAATTAATGTACTCGTCCTACTCGTCCAAAACTCTTGCCTAACAATAAACTCATGACGTCAATTGGTCGTCATGGCAACCTCAAACAATACCTGCTCTTCATTTTATGCTAATATGTGATGAATAATTAATGTACTAGTCCTGCTCGTCCTTTTGCTCGTCAAAAATCCGGCCCGTGCGGTTCGGCCTATACTACTTTTTCGGTGGACAACGTTAATGACATTGACTGTATATAGCGAGCCCCATAAATTATTTWTATWTTGTGCGGTCTCTATCTTGAATATAAAATTATTAAATAGCCTATAGTTAATTGCTAAATATTTRTAGGTGGGTTATGAATTTTTCAAGATGTGTTTCATTCAGTGACTTTTCCGGCGTTTAATGTTTACTTTTTCTTTGAGATCCTTAAGCTTATTCACTTTTAAAAGTACTAGTAAAAGTACTTGTAAAAGTTAATTATTAAATTCGTTAGAGGGGTAGTTGAAATGTGTGTGACTTTTTGATGAATTAATTGTGCTTGTGTGTGCTTGGGTTTTTAATTAATTCTGAGTTTGCAAGAAGAAAGTAACACAGAGAAAGACCCAGGCCTAAAGATTAAGGAATTTCTTTTCAATAATGAGCAATAATGGCATATAGCGCCAAAAACTAGACCTTCGTATGAGTTTTGAACCCAATTTTCGTTTTGGGTTAACACTCAACACCTTTTTTTAACAGTTAGAAACTGATGTACTATGATAAAATGCTTGTTTGAAGAGGCATTTTCAATTGTACAAAGATGTTTTGTTGCATTTGTGTTAGAATGTAGCTTGGTCAGGCTTTTAATAGAAAATGTACGTGAAATAAGCAAATGAAGGCCTAAACCTCATTTTCGATTCAAATTTTTGCTTTGGGTTAAACACTTTGATTCCACTTTCATCGGCCATCTCCACTTCCAAACAAGTTAAACTTTCTGAATAACATGGTTTTAGCCTTGTACAACAGCTTTTCTTCAAGAAAATAGTTATTGGCGCCACCGCTTGAATACGAAAAGAATTCTCTCTTAATAAGTAATATATTAAAGATATTAATATTATTTTGTTAGTTGTATCTTAATTTTTATCCGAGCTTTTCTTTGGATATACCATTCGTAATTTCTAGCATTCGAGCGCGGTCTATCTATATTGTTGAAAAAGCAATAAAAATGGCTATACAATATTTAAAAAAATTAAGTTTAAACACGCAAATGTCATAACATTAATCATGCGATCCATGTACTTGGCATTGCCAAATCTAAGAGACAATGTAAGCAAATATTAATCGAAAATTATGTGGCTCTAATGGAACATTCTTTGGTTCGACTGCGTGGGCAGTTCGATTTGCAGCATCGAGATGTCTGCATACCAAGAAATCCAAGGTAGCCAAAAAAACAAATATTTTTATTTCGATTTCATTATTTTCTGCTATTTCACTACTTGATGCTTTTCTTCATATGTTTAAAGAGTTGCATTTTTCAGTTCCTTCAGAGGTGTACCATATAATATTTAATTTGATCTGAACAACTCGGGTCAAACACTGGTAACTAACAAATAAAAGCAGGGTTTTCTACATCAAAAGTTTTAGGTAAACAAGCGAAGGCTTTTAAGTTCTGTTTACAGTCGAATTATTACCGACGACTTTAAATTCCTTGACTGTTGTTGATTGACCAAATCTCCTTCGTAACGTCCTGAACGGCTGTGTAAAGCTTTGAGAATTTTTTAGCTGTAGTCTGCTAGTCCGTTAATGATCATGAGGTTTTCGCTACTGCCTTTAGGGCTGCTGTTGGGGATTCTAGTGATGGAGTGTTACGGTGATCCTAAATATTATTCAAGAAAGGGCTACAGACGTCGTCCAAGCTATCGCCGTCGATATCATACAGGGTGTAGCTATCACCGCAAGCTAAATTGCATTGTTAGCCAATGGCATGCATGGAGCTCATGTACCGAAGACTGTGGTTCCACAGGAGTAAGAAACCGTGCAAGACTTGTCATTCGTCCAGCCAAGTGTAATGGTACACCATGCCCTTCTCTCACACAACAACAACCTTGCAACRGAAAATGCTACAATGGTGGTACACCCAGACCTGGTATTTGTTCTTGCCGATATGGCTATAGTGGAAAGTGTTGTGAAAAGGGTATGTAAAACTAAATTAACTTATGAGTATCACAGGATCGAAGACAATAAAATTATCACGTTATCAAACAATAAACCTATAGCACGACGTTCTTGTTAGTTCCGCAAACCTCAAACTGCAGTTCACAACGTTAGGAGTTTTCCGTTAAAAACTTTCAACAATTAGCAATGCGTCATAACAAAGTTGCTGCTGGAAAAGTGGCCATATTAAGCTTTATTTATGCCAAGTGTTTCTCCTTGTTTGCGGGCGTTTTTCGGGGCCTGATTCCTAGCGGTTAGCGATAAACCCGCGATGCTAAAGGTCTCGTACCGTACCGTACCAATCGAAGTTTTCTTTACGTACATTGAATTGATATAAAAACACTCCTGCTATCTTTCATGATAAGCGCAAAAATAAAGAGATTGTAAAGAGAAAAAAGGTACATAGTTACAAGTTAAACGCAGATTTAAATAAATAAGTTTTCAACTTAGACTTGAATAACGAAAGATTATGATTAGTTATATATGATTTCATAAGGATGAATTAGGATAAACGATTACTATGTAGTCGAAGCAATTGCTAGTGCATCGAAACAGAGCGCTGAGTTAAAAAGAAATGTTAATGTTATAGCAAAGTGTTTATTCCATAGGTCGATCCATTGTTACTGAGGGTGGTTTAAACACTCAGGAGCTTAGTCAGCATATATGACTCCTTGAATGTCAGTTTTTATTTGATTTTCTTTCAGTCGGCAATTAATAAGGTCCACATTAGTCATGCACTTCCAGAAAATTCTGAAACTACCTGTGTCAGCTTGAATCTTAACATAAGGCTTTACTTTGTATCACTTAAATTTGGATTAGGCACTGGAGGCGACAAAGAAGGATTCTGCTTTTCCAAACCAGATGGTGTGTACGGAAATCCAAAGGACTGCACGTCATTCTATCATTGTGCTCACGGCCAAACCCATTTGAAGGACTGTACTCATGGCCTTCACTGGAACGATAAAGCAAAGACTTGTGACTGGCCGGAAGATGCTAAGTGCGGCAAAGGTAATGGTAGATAGGTAGTCATCGTGGTAATGGATAATATAGCGATGCATGCAAAAGCTATATATTTTTTACAACTTCATTATTTATTGTTTGACATATCACGTGGAGCTCGACCTTTCGGCATTTCGTGCAATTAAAGGATGCCGGCCCAAAATTACAATTTCTGAGATGACCCCCATTTTTTTATTTWTTTTATTTATAGAATATCGGTTGTAATTGGCAAATTAACTTTWAAAAAATTATAATAATAATTGCAGGTTGGTTCCTTCCTTGTTTATACAAGTTAAATTAAATAAGTTGATTATGTCAGTAATATATCTTATGCATACTGATACAGGTGTCAACAAAGCTTAGTGAAAATTTGTTTTATATGGCTAATGAATCAATTCAAAAATGAGCCGGGGCTGGGGCTGGGACTTAGGGGAATATAGTTCTAGTTTTCGTGGCAATGATCACTTTAAATTTCCGAATAAAAGATCAATTTAGAAAATATCAAAATGCATTGCATAAATTGGCCAATGGTCAGAATTGATATATTAATTGATAACAGAGTCATGACCAATATTAAACGCGGCGTATAACAGTAAAACTTGTGCTATTTTTTTATCTTTTGAGTCTTAAATCCTTGTTATTACGCAATAAGAGATATAATAGCAATATATAAATTGCGTTTCAGTGGACGGTAGCTTTGGTAAATGGACCGCCTGGAGTAAATGCAGTGCTACTYGTGGAAAAGGAAGGCAGTTCAGGTTAAGAAGATGTAACAATCCGCCTCCTAGCAACGGAGGAGCGGATTGCCATGGTAGTGCGATGGAAATGAGAGACTGCATTCTCAAGCATTGTGCAGGTAAAACTCAATACTAAACAGCATGTATGTTCAACGTAAAGATGGGTCCATAATAATCATACAAAGTACTATTATGTGTCGTCAGCTCGCTCACTGTTACGTTAACGTTATGCATCCTGGCCACCAAATCTAGGACATAGGTCACTGTGGTCATGCTCCTTCCTTCTCTGCACTAAAATCATACGGAATTTTATACCTCAATAGTAATATATTAGAAAATATTTTATTATGTTCTTAAGATATCTTAGTATTTTAATTCGTTATTTTAGTATCTTAATAATATGTTATTTATCATTATTATTATTATTATTATTATTATTATTATTATCATTATTATTACTGTTATTATTTATACAACAAGTGCTGAAATATGAAAAAAAATCTTACATGTGAGGAAAACAAAGATTTAATTTGAAATAAGTGTAGCCATACTGGATAGAATTGACATTACAATGCATTGTGGGACTGTTTTAAGGGACGAAATAGACGCCATCTTGGAAATGTGTGCCCTTAAACAGTCCCATAATGCACTGCAATTCAACTCGACCCAGTTTTTCCCTGAACCTCGGAATGGCTAACTTGGTGACAAAAAAAAAAAAAGAGGGAATTACCTCATCTTTTTTTTTTTTGCATATTCGAAGTTTGCTGTTGGAGGTTTTTTGATATTTAAAAAAATCATAGAATAAGTAGTCGGTTTTTTTTCCAGGCAACTGTAGGTGGAAGGAGTGGAGTTCTTGGTCACAGTGCAGTGCAAAATGTGGCTGTGGCTCAAAGAAGCGACGTCGTCAATGCTCATGTGATAATGACGGTAGTTATACGAAGCGCGGTTATTCTGGCAACAATGAGCATTGTCAAGGCAAGGGTGAAGAAGAGGTAGATTGTAACTGTCACAAATGTCCTGATGGGAATGTCAACACAGGTAATGATTCTAGTTTAGCAACCCTTTGTATAAGGCTTTACACCGTCACGTAATGGCAGCTATGACAGTAGGCGGGAACAATAGTAGATATTAGAGTTACATTTTTTTGCCTTCGAACGATTGCGGCATTTGGGTCAGTTTCTATACATTTTAATGTAATGACCCAAATGCGTCGACTTGAAACAATTGTTTGAAAGCAATAAAGTGTAACTTCAATATATCTGCTATTGAATATGGTCTAACCTGATTTACATGAGAAAGTGAATAAGAGATGAAAGATGCAGATTATACTGCAGTAGGAAGGTAACCTTCGGGCTAAAGCATTGATCTTTAATTTTCAATTTGTTTGATTGTTTGTTTTTTAATTCAGAATCCGTTGGTTGTTTCTGTGACAAGAACGCACCCAATCGTRCACTGCCAAATTTCGTGGCCAAGTTCCACGGCAGTACGTCAGCCAAGGATAAAATCAGTGCATGTGCTCACCTGGCGCAAACACTGAAAGTGGAGTATTTTGGTATGCAGGATGGGGGAGAATGCTGGGTAGACAGAAGCGGCGTTAATGCTTACAGCAAGCATGGACGGTGTACCAACTGCAAAGATGGAATTGGTGGACAATGGGCAAATTATGTGTACAAGATTGTCCAATAGATAGTTCTCAGTCTTTGTGCACTTGTGCAACAAGTTTTCTTTCATGTTTCAAGGGAGTTTAGTTTACATTAAAGTGTGAAGAACCTTGCGATTTGAGTTTTTTAATTTAGACATTAAAGTTGCTACATTTCACTTGTTTTTGCATGTTCTTTCAGGTCAACTGAAAAAAGTGATGCATTCATAAACCAGTATACTGGGAACAATGATTGCCGGAAATAAAAGGGTAAATTATTTAAAAGTAAAGAAGGTCCCCCATCACGTGTGCACTGGAATTTTAAAGATAGCTACTGAAGGAGCATGCAATAATTAATAGAATGATATCAGAGGACTGTCATTTCCGATCTGCTGGTAGGAAATTTCACTAGTAGCAGGTTTTCGATCGAAATCATTGACAAATGGTTGAACATTTGAGATGTGGGGGCTGGTCGYGAAATTTTTGGGGGGGACCTGGCCCCCACAAAATATTGGTTCTCAGTCATAGTTTTGCAATCAAACAAAACAGCGGTCATTATCACATAGCGTTAAATATGATATTTTAGTGCCCCCCCAAATATTTTCATCTTCCGCCGCCCCTGTATCGTTGGTATTGTTTCTTTGTTTTTGCATCAGCGGATGTAGGAAAGCAGTGTACTGACCGTGACAATGGAAAATTAGGGTCACTCTGTCACTGTCCGCGACATGCATCATGACACAAATTCAACCCTGCTTCCAGTTTGATGCAAAACCAACTTTCTTTTGCAACATGATGCTGTCATAAAAAACGTTAGCGTCAAAACAGGCTMAAGTAGACGCTTATATTAAAGCTGATACTCATGATGATTTGGTTCATAGAATTTTAACTAGGCCTTAATAGTATTATATTTCCTGTTTCATATAGCCGCCTGGTGGTTGATAAAACTGAAAACATTCCGCGTCAACTTCTCCTGTCAGATCAACCAACATGGCTTGTTTTTCATTGTTATTTATATCTCTGAGTCAGACATGTGGTTGCTCCCCAAGAATAACGCGTTACACATTGTAATGAAAACTGGGTAGCATAGAAGTAAAAAAACTACATCATGTGGGAAAAGATAGGCCGCATGGCACGACCCCTTTTTTGGACGGGGAAGGGGACGGGGAAGGACGGGGAAGGACGGGGACATTAATAATTCATCAAATATTAGATTGCTTATTACCATAAAATGACGGGTAGGTATTGTGAAGTTGCCATGACGACCATTTGACGCCATGAGTTTATTGTTTGACAAGTTTGGACAAGTCTTTTGTTTACCAATCCAATTTATAGAGCGCGGAGATTTTGAATTTTTAACTCCAAAACTCAACCAACCAAGCAAACAAGCAAGGAAGACCTAAAAAATATACTTTTGAGAATAGCAATGGCTAGTTATTCCAGTTAGGCTCTCGAGGATATCACGCTACCGCCAATGAATTCAAAGGACTAATGAAAACTTGATGACTATTGTATCCAACACAATGCACTTAATGACTCTTAAACGATAAACAATGAGACCTACTAAGTTCTTCCTAATTATGCAAACATCAGCTGAGAATAATTAGTTCTGTTATCTTTTTCTATATTATATAAACAGCGTTCATTCTATTTCATACTGGACCGTAGTACAATGACTCTAAAATTCCCTGGCATTCAAACTTATTAATGCTGTCATATCTCTTTTCCTTCAATCATTTTTGTCACGTGTTAAATAAGACACGGCATCAAAACAATTTTATGAATGCAMAAATCTATAGGAAGCCCATAACCGATTTAGTTATTAAAAAACACAGGAAGCCCATGGCTAATTCTTATTTCCACAGGCAGCCCATCCGATTTAGTTATAGACTCTTCCACAGTCTCTCGCTCGTCCGTTCCGTCTCCACTCTTAGAGACTGTAACGGTTCAATGACCGAAAGGACTTATTGGTCCCGAAAACTTGGACCCARCGTGCTTTGGGAACCAAAATACTTGTCTACAGTCTCTCTCGTTTCAATATTTTCAAGATGTTTTCGGGACCCATATGTCCTTTCGGTCATTGTACCGTTACAGTGTCTAAGCGTGGAGACGGAACGGACGAGCGAGAGACTATGGAAGAGTCTAATTTAGTTATTGAAAACACAGGAAGCCCATGACCAATTCTCATTTCCACGGCCAAGACCATTTGAAATACTAAAATTAATAACTGATTTTATAGTAACCTTATATTTGCTTATTTTTTTCTGATTGAGGGTTGATGAGAGGTCGATGAGAGGTCGATGAGAGGTCGATGAGAGGTCGATGAGAGATCGATGACTGGTCGATGTAAGATTACCTCCTCTCCTCCTGCTATCAGGCTATCAATAGATTAGCTTCTTGGCTATCAATAGCTTAGCTTCTTGGCTATCAATAGCTTAGCTTCTTGGCTATCAATAGCTTAGCTATCAGGCTATCAATAGCTTAGCTATCAGGCTATCAATAGCTTAGTTATCAATAGGCTATCGATAGCTTAGCTATCAGGCTTTTACTTTGTTCAGTTTTCTGGCGAAGGTTCAGCGCGATTTGAGACCGCTTAGTGTTTTTTTTTTAAAGAGCGGATTTTGAAAAAACCAACTAAACGGCCTCAAATCGCGCTGAAACTTCGCCAGAAGACTGAACAAATTGAAAGCAACAACTGCAGCAAGTTTTGAGGCAAATTGTYGAGTGAAACATTTAATTTTCGTAACTTTATCATAACTTCCATACATTCCCTTATAAACCATACAAAGGAACCTTGTTTGGACTGCTAGTGCTAAATTACACTAAATTTGTATGAGTATAGGTTRCAAGTGCTACAATAGCTTCAAGTATGGTTATAGTTATTTTTGTATTATTGAGCACATCAGCTTCATCGCGACCACCCCAAACAAAAATCGCGACGTGCACTTTGCAATAGACTGCCGTCAATCAAACACGTTGACATCGTTTAAACGCGTGTGTGATTCAAAAGGCGCCAAAACTTGTCGATTATTTACAAGTATTATGAGCCACACTCACCGGGCCTATCCGGGCCGATCCCAACGCGTGTAAATGACGTCAACGTGTTTGGTTGAAGGCAGTCCATTGCAAAGTGCACGTTGCGATTTTTGTCCGGGGTGGCCGCGTAGCAATGCAAATGGCGGTAAATGATTGAAAAACATCAATACCTATTATCGTGCTATTTTTGCTCTCCTGGAAACAGTTGTTTCAAAGCTTGATGCCTGCTTGAGCAGTGTTTTTCCAAACGAAGCAAAACTAACTTAATCCTCCAAACTAACTTATATGTAATCATAGATAACAACCCTAATCAGCCTTTGCCCAAGTAAGTCTTGCATGAAGAATGGGCTTCCTGTGCCGATGATGCATTAGCATCGCTAGATCTTAGTAACCGAAGCTATCAATATAAAAAGAATATCTAGGGTCATATGGGTGTTTTGGGTTCTTATATATTCTATATCGACCTTCATAGTGTCTAAGGTGAATACTCCCCCTGAAAATATAAACATCTCTGTTTAAAATATTAAGTTTCTGTACTTCATTTTCATAAAACTTGATCTCGACGACATAACGAGTCCTGCTGTAAATCCCTGGACTTGTAACTACCGTTCCTCTGTGTGTAAAGCAGTTTAACGCCAACTTATCTGGTTCCAAGTCGTGCGGGGAGTACGAGGTAAAGTACACTCCTACCGATAAAAAAAATCACGTACAATGTCATATGCGTGAGTATTCAAAGAACGTGGTCGTTGACCCCAAGCCTGACGTACGTGACATACAGATGGGAGTGAAAGGGAGTATGGGTAGAAATCACTGTTAGAACGATTAACTGCTAGGACTTTCGTTGGCCAGCGGGCAGCGTTGAAGAATGTTGTCTTGAAATAACTTAAGAGTTTCAAAATTAGGAAGGTCCTTAATTGAATATGTATAGGTAATCGTATGGCCGAGTAAAATTAAGGATTAATTTCACGAGCGTTTTTAAAGTTTTGAAATTGCACGATTTGCAAAGCGACAAGGGCAATTTCAAAACTTTGAAAACACAAGTGAAATTAATCCTTAATTTTATGACTGAGGAACCATACGATTAACCGTTTATCATATATAGGGCAAAATTCAACGAAAAAATCAGTCTTGAAACCAATATGATGTCCGTGCGTTGTCATTTATTCTGAACTACAAATCAAATGTAGTTATGGTTCAAAAGATTTTCATTCAGAATTCAAACGTGTTTCTTCATTATAAGTGCTCTCTTCTATCAAACTTTGGATAATAATACTTAAAGGTTTTCTCCTTTACAAAAGAATATCATAAATTACTGAGTTTAAACAATAATTATTTGGCAAGTTTCCCTTGGATCCCACTCGGAATGAACTTTTAAATCTTGAAAAAAAAGTGCTTCACCGAAAGAATAAAATATCCCGTCAAAACCCATAAAAACATGCATAAAACTAGATTCCTACCAACAAAGTTCTTAATCTGAATCAGAATCCATGCCAAAGGAAGTTTTAAGTTTTAAGTCCAGATCAAGATAATTGTGCTGAATTATTTCAGCGATGGCAATCAAAGTCACATTTGGAGCAGGTGAAGTTGTACACATTTGGGACTACTTTAGTAGCCTTTTCGAGGCCCATTTACGGGAAAATGTTTTCTTTCCAGTGTTCTCATTTTCGTTTGAACTTTTTATTTTTCTTATCGTCTGGCAATGCAAAACGGGAAGCCATTTTGAAAAGGAAAAGTTTGCAGTTTATGAGCGTTGCTAAGCAACTGAACTACCAATCATTTTCTAGTAATTCGGCCCCGAATTACAGAAAAAAGCCCTYCTTCATTAGCCAATCAACATCGAGTAATTTTGCCCCGTATATGATAATACTCATAACGACTTAACCATTTGCGAAACCCACAGACAAACATTTAATGCCATATATAACCGGCCGTTTCAATGGCTTCTACCCATACTACCTTTCGGTGCAGTTTTAGACTTTGATTTTTGACTGAATGACTGTAAACTTACTTGCCATGTATGTAGTAGTGTCTATGTACTACCTACCTGAACCGTATTTTCTATGCTGCGGCTGGGTGTTTTCATCCGAGGATTTGATTAGTCCA